GGAGGCATTCAACTCAAGGAGGAGACAAACCGAGAGGAGATACGAGAATTTCGGGGCGCAGTGCCCAACTTGAAGTACCTTTATTTCAAAGGATATACACAATTATGTGCTTACCCTAGGCACAGAAAGCACAATAAAGCAATTCAACTTTTTTTCTAGGTTTCACACCTGTGACTTGGCGGCGCAAGGCTTGCGACTACACGACAAGATGCTCGAAAAAAATAACGAACCTACAGAGATTTCATCTAAATTCGGGGAAGTGCTTTTGCAAAGACGCATATCATCACCTTCGTGGCACGTAACCATAACTTTTTATCCGGTTTTGTTGTTACTCATGTCTTTCATTCTTGTGTGTAAAATAATCAAAAATTTCTTCTATACTTTATACTGACTGTGGAATAAAAATTAGTGCCAAAGAACAAGCATTGCATATGTTTTTTTTAGATGTCACTTGTGTTGCATTGCTAGGTTTCTGCTGCTTTGCTGCTGTTCTCACGTTTCAAGGCTGGTTTGGGTACGTTTCAACGTACATTAGCCAGTACTGAACCGCGAAAACTAGCTGCAAAGCAGCAGAAGCCTAACAAAGCAACACAGAAATTGCCAAGAGAAAAAAAATGCTATTTTCATTTTTTAGGTTAGGTGGCGCTGCCCACACAGGGCAGCACAGTGGCGCTGCCCTGCGCTTTCGGTTTTGGTTTCACTGCACCGCCATGTTTATTTTTGTGCACCCTTCAGGAACAAGGGGACTCAAATGGCGTTGCGTACTCCAAGGGATTAAAGCCCCTTCATGTTTCAAAAGTAGCGCAAGTTGCGTCGATGCACAGAGGCACGTGTAACGTGCAGCCCGTGGGAAAATCAGGGCCGAACAGCACATCATTAAGCTACATATCAGACGCCATGATCTTCCCAAAGTAGGCGCGCGGCACGTGTCTCGATCATTTCCACAACAGTGAATGGCGCCACTTTGCCCGGGATAGAGGAGCTTTACCAGGGTTTGCCAGTTCGCGTCTTATGGGTGGCATTGGAAGTTGCACTCCTCTGGTTGATACGGCAGCGCAGGCATGCCGAGTCAGCATGCCACGTGCATCCGCGCTTTGATGGAAGTAGAAATTCATAGCTGTTGATGTATTAAGATTCACATGAGAGTGATAACGATGATACAGTTCAGCTAAGTGACCTTTCTAGCGACTAGAGTGAGGAAGAGCCGCTGCCAAAGAAGAATCAGATGAAGAGAAAACTTGACGAGAGGAATTTCTGTTGGAAGAAGAAAGAATTCAACCCTCAAGAGCACACTCTTAAGCCATAATGTTTAAGAATCTGCAATGGCATGAAACCCGGGGTCCAGTGGGCTCGAGGTGTGAAAGCTCGTTTGCGCCAAACACTGCAAAAAAAGAGAACAAAAACGGCAAAAGGTGAGGACCAGTCGAACAAAGAACAAAAAGTAACCGGGAGTGAAGGTCTAACAAAGGCCGCTGAAAAGGTTTTTTTGAAACACAGTCTATTTTGTGACGTCTTCACTTACGGTGTCGGTCGTTGAAGTCAAAAAACGAAATTCTTCTCCGCGCTACTGACCCGAAACGCATGTCAGCAAAAGCAGCGTCGCGTTGCGAAATGGAATTCATTGGGAACGTAAAACCGTTTCCTGAGATTTCAGATAAATGTTCAAATAATTGAGAACAATAATTTTACACACCAGGATGGCGGAAATGTCGTCATTCTGCAGCGTTTTTTTTTTTTTTTTTGGCGGGGGGTTAAGTTTTTGGTTTAAGTGTTTTTGTGGATCAAGTTTCGTTGCTCAAGAACATAAAAAAATGTTCGCACTTCAAACCGTCTTGCGGTCACTACTGGTGTCCATTTTCATGCACTAATTATGATCCGCTAAAATCATTTAAATTATGGAAAACAAACGCAAATAGAATGGGTAAGTCATACTTCAAGTTCAATATCACCATCGCCTATAAAAGAAAACGCAGGGAGGTTTGCACGAGCGCACGCGAGGCCTTGTTCCTCGTGTCCCAACTGTCTCTACGACCTATCCGTTCCATCGGCTGCAGTCTACGAATACTTGGCGAAAAGACGGTTGCGTTAAAGCCGCCGAAGTTCCCCGATCAAAAGAATGGCGAGCCTGAAGGCCAACAAGCTCGCCAACCCAAACATCGAGTTGGTCAACATCCGCAGCGAGTCGCCACGAGTTCCTTCCACTGAAGAGGACGTCCACGTCTACGGCTATGGCCAGTTCCAGAGAATGGCGCTGCTCTGCTCTATCGTCTCGTTCTTCATGACGGTGGTCCTCAGCCAAACGCCCCTCGTCATGTCGCGTCCTGTGGCCCATTGGTGCAAGCCCCCCGACGAGTACGCCGGCTTGTCCGCGGACGAGTGGAAGAACACGAGCATCCCCACGGACGAGGACGGGCGATTCAGCAGCTGCACCCGCTACGAACCGCCCATGCCAACGCCCGCGGACAACAAGACCGAGGCCAGCTGCGACCACTGGGACTACGACAGCGAGGTTGGCGCCACCATCGTGAGGGATTTCAACCTGGTCTGCGACAGGAAGTGGCTGCTCTGGGCGCTCCGGTTCGTGTACTTACTCAGCGGATCGGTGCTCTTACCTGTCATGGGTTCAGCGGCCGACAGGTGTGGGCGCAGGGCAGTCCTCGGCCTAACCCTGTTCGGCCTGGTCTTGTCCGGGGTGATCACGTCCCTGGTGAAGACATTGGTCGAATTTGCGGTGCTGCAGCTTCTCACGTCCGCATCAATCACCACGTTTCAGGTTGGTGACGGGGTGCGCGGTTCCGTTTTTAGATAATAATAATATAACGTGTTTTTTTTTTTTTCATTCCAATCGCTTAAGGCAGGTCAACAGTACAACGCACAAAACGACAAAAATATATCGCTTCTACCCCTTGGGACTTAGATCGTTTGAAATCGATGACAAGAACAGAGGAAACATGCACGAGACGCAAGCGCTGACTGGCAACTGAATTTATACACAAAAGGAAGAAGAAAACGTACTGAAAGTTACGCTATGCCAGGGCGTGGCACACACCACGCCCTGGCAATTATAATAGTTACGGAATTATAGTAGTAGCTCCTCTAATATTTAAATGAACTTCTGATAAATCAGGCAAATCTTGTGGCTTCCTTGAGTTGAAATTAATGAGACTCTATTTTATCGCCAATTACGTGGTTTAATATCAACGCAAATAACCGGAGCACTAAAAATGTACCTCCCCGCGCATCACGTGATCTTACGTCACCGGTTTCGAGGTCCGCCGGTGGTCCGCGGCCCGCGCTTTTGAGAAATGCCAAGCCACTTTTCTCGCCCGGACCTTGGCGGCGGACCGCGGCGTTTTCAGTACAATTGAAACGCTAAGTCTGGCAACAAGCGGACTTTTGTTTTTCGCATTAGAATCCTAATCCAAAGTCGTTTTCTTTTCGCGCCACAAAGAAGACGAACCTTTTGTTGTGCGACGATGCAACTTTTTACTTCATCGCGTTCGTGGAGCAATTCCCCGCTCTGCGGGACAATAATCGCAACGACTACTCAAATAATCATCTAAAGATGTCCCCATGTCAACGCCAGGGCCACCGCGGCCAAAAGCCACTTTCGTTCAACCTCCATCTTGGCTCCTTACAAATAGCCTCAAAGCAGCTCGTTGCATGCGTTTGGCGGAACTGTGTAGTCGAGGGTTAGACCGGCCCGTTCACTCTGTCGTCTGCTCTTTTGGTCCGCCGTGTGGATGCTCATTGCAGCCGGGCGGTCCGCGGGCCGCGCATCACCTGATCAATCGGTCCGCGGCCCGGTCCGTCGTGTGGATACACCTTTAGGAGACGCCGAAAACATCAGTTGTATGGATTTTTTGTTTTCAAGAACAAACGGGCGAAGGAAAATTTGTTTAATTTTTTTAAATCCAGACACGACAGGGAACAACTTCCATAATTATTCGACCGAATTATCCGGTCAAATAATACTTGTAATTGTTCCCTGTCATGTCTGGATTTAATAAAATATTTGCCTTCGCTTGTTAGTTTTTATGAACAGAAAAGTCCAACTATTGATGCAATACGTTCAGTGCGAGTCAACTAAAACTGAAAATGTCAAGGATTACTTATTACTAGTGTTCAGCCTTAGGACATAGATATTGTGAAGATTTATTTAAATCTTTATCACTTGCGGAATGGCATGAGAAGGCGACCGTAGCGCAGGCTCCACTTGTATACATGTGTCGCACTTGATGTCATCGAACCATACCAATAATCATTCCTTGTTGTTCTTGCCGAGAAAAAAAATTCGGTTGTGCGAATTATGAGGTGTAGGAGGTGCACGCCCAGCAGTGCAAGTCATGTTTTCCACTGGGAGATGTGACATGCTCGTCCTTATCACTGGCTAAACGGGTTCAAGGAGGACTAAAAATGTACCTTCCCGAAAAAATCGCAAGGTCTCTCGTCATTCCCGTATTGCATTGCGCGGGGAATTGTGGAACCCTTCCGATGTCCGTTCGGGCCGGATCGAGCGTTTTGCACGTCCTGGAAGATGCTCAGTGCATCTCGCTTACCACTGCGAGATCAAAACAGACATAAAAAAGAGTAACAGATCGAAAAGCCGAAACGTACCCTAATTTGTTCTCGTCTTGTTTTTTTTCTGTTTCTTTTTTTTATTTTTAAAATCGCAAAATGCTAGAACAGCATGAATACATCCCTCTATTCAGCTGTTCTTCTCCACGCTCCGTACATCGAATTGCTGTAGTACGTCGAGAAAACGGTGAAAGGCGCTGCGTATTTTCGGAATAGTCTAATGGTATGTTGAGAGCACCGAAGCGCCGTAACTCAGGAACGTTGAAGAGCTTCCGACACGGTGCCCGTATCCCCCAGGCTATCAGCACCGTGCTGCTCTTCGAGGTGACTCCGCAAGACCACTGGATGCTCTTTGCATGCTTAACGTCTGCGTTCCCCTTGTGCTTGGTACCGTGGTGCTCGGCCTACTAGGCACGACTGTGATGCACTGGTCCGCCATACAGCTTGTTGTGATATCGCCCACGCTACTGCTGCTACTGACCTACCACCTGACAGACGAGTCTCCGCGCTGGCTGATGACTTCGTGGAAGTTCAAGGATGCTGAGCGGGTTATCCTCTGGGCGGCTAGGAAGAACGGACTCCCGGAGCTGAACAAGGTGCGCCCAGCGTACTTCAGGGTCAAGGAGAGCGCCGTCTCGCGTGACGGGTTCACCGACAGGCCCACCATCTTCAACATCGTTAGCTCACCCCAGTTGCCATCCCGATCGCTTATCGTTTGTGGTGTTGGTTGGTGGGTCATCTTTAACTGCTACTACAGCATAGCTCAATACAAATCGTTCGGAAGCGGTGCCGTCTACTTCTACATAATGATCGGTATCGCCAACATGGTCACTCAGACCGTCAACTACTCGTACTTTGTCCTGAGGGGTTACGGCCGCCGGAAGCCGATGTCGGCCTACATGCTGGGGATGTCGGTTTTGCTGACGTCACTGGCGCTATTGGTGGCTCTGGGGATAGAACTGGCGTTCGCGAAAGTCGCTGTCCCCACCACTTTCCTGGTGGAAGTGTCGTTCGCAACCATGTTTGTGTTTACCGTCGAACTCTATCCGACAGCGGTGCGCAGTGCTGGCGTGTGCGGCGCTTTCCTGTTCGAGCGCCTAGGCGGCGTCTCAGCGTCGCTTTTCAGCGACCTGCGACTTATGGATCCTCCCATGGACAGGCTGATCCCCATGCTCGTCAACGCGGTCGTGTTCTTCACATTAGGTTTGCTGTTGCTCTGGTTGCCAGAGACGTTGTCCACGAGTACAACCGACACCGGTCAGGAGGCTGCGCAAAAGGACATGTGGAGGTTTGACTCACTGCTTAAGCGGAAGAAGAAGAGCAGACAGGTTCCCAGGAATCGCATCGCTCCAAAACTTGAGCGATAGGCACTCCAGCAAGTCCCCGGGATGAATGGAACGCGGGGATGTGCTCAGAAAACTAGTCGTCGGTCTTCCTTGAACCAGTTCAATCAAAATGAATGGCGACCGGTATCGAACCCAACTGGTCACACTGACTCAGTGGCAAAGAGACGTAGGGTCTTTTCTGGCACTCAAAATGCCTGATAATGGAAGCCCGACAACGATCGCCCTTCTCATTGTCTGAGAGGATTAAAGGAAGACCAGCGACTGGCGTTCCGAGCTCAGCTAGCGGCATGATACATTTAAAGGGGTATTCACACGGGGGATGTTTTTCGAGGAGCGATGTGCGCAACGTCAGTGATCGGTGGAAACGGAGCGACTCGCTGCCTGACTCAAGCAGTTACATGAACGGCGGGGAGCAAATAGGATCGTCTGTGTTATCGGACGCATTTAGAGGCTGCACGTTCGACAAACACGACTCGGTGGACGCTAAAAAAAAAACAAAAAAAAAAAAAAAAAAAAAAACCCGGAGGGGTACAGGAAACGGCGATACGCGATCATAGCAGTAGCGCTGTTTGGTATAAAATGTGGCAAACTTTTCCTGCGAAAACAAAGGTGGTTCTTGAGTTAGTGAACGAAAACACAAATGATGTAGAATCAAAAACAAGTTTTATGAGGAGCGGCTTGAGGACGGCATTCGTGAATATCTAACACCCCATTCACACGATGATAAAGGTGCCTTTAGCAAAGAAACCTTTATTCTCTGCGTTGAATAAATTCACGACCCTCCGCGCGTGGAGTGTGCTCGCGACCCAAGACTGCAGTTATACGCCGATTGCAAAGGAACCTGTGTTAAAGGTACTATTATGCTGCCCGTGTGATTATGTTATCAGACGCATTTGGGTGCCTCGGAGAACATGCCTAACAGCGCCAGCTAAAATAAATTAGGCGATTAACCGCCAGAATCTCTCTGAGCGAAATCCCTAAAGTTGCCAGACACGCAAACAAAATACCGCCAGCTGCAAAGGGATTCCATGCAAGGCTGGGGGTGTTTGTGCACACCGTACAAATTCCCCCAATACCCCTGGGATGTCTATTGCGCTGCTCCGCGCGAAAGCGTGACATTGTAATTTGTAACCCGGTGCCTCCCGAGAAGCAAAGGGAGGAATTTTTTCCCTGTGTGAACGCCCCATAAACGTCGTGTGAGCGCGTATGAAAACCGGCCATATTCGCTTATAGATTGCTAATATTTTAGGAACTATATTCATTTTATTTATTTTATTTTATTTTGAATACCCTCAGGGTCCCTGATACATTACAGAGTCGGTGGGTACATGGACTAAATACGTGGACACTGGTACATTATGCAGTAAAAAAACATTCAACAAGTGGAGGATTAGAAAAATATTCGGTTATGGCGAATTTAAATGATGACGAATGTTCAATGGAGTCAACGGAAGGGGGAAGCCGGTTCCACTCTGAGCTGGTTTGGGGATGAAACAAACGGGATTAGAAGTATGAAGGCTGCGAAATAAGTTCCTGTTTTAAAGATGGGTTATAAAAAAAAAAGTGAAAGCCGTTTACAACTTCCTGTAACACCGAATTGGAGCGCAGCTCTTGAGGAGGAGGAGTGGAGGGTATATTCCTCCTCCTCCCTCGTGATCATGCCTGCTAGTCCTCCTCCCCTCCTGCTCCCCCTCCCCCTCCTTTACCACCTCCTCGTCCTTCAAGCTCCTCCCCTCCCCTCGCCTCCGCCTCCTCGTCTCCCCTCCCCCCTCCTCCACCTTCGTACTGCTTTCCTCCTCGCCGCTGAAGTCATGTGACCCCCTCCCCCCGAGGTCACGTGACCCCCCCGGACCATACTAGACAATCAGGGGAGGAGGAGGAGGGGGAGGAGGAAGAGGGCAGAGGTCCGGGGGGTCACGTGACCTCGAGGGGACGGGATCACATGACCTTGGGCGGGCCGTCACGTGACTTCGGCGGGGGCAGGGGAGTCACCCCCAGGGGGTCACGTTACCTTGGCGGGGGAGGAGGGGGAGGAGGAGGAGCGGAGGGGGGAGGAGGAGGGGGAGGGGCGACGCCGACGCCAACGCCGACGCCAACGCCGACGCCGACGCCGCACAGGCTGGAAACAGGTCATGTGACCCCCTCCCCCAGGTCACGTGACCCGCCCGGACCATGCTACACAATGAGGGGAGGAGGAGGAGAAGGAGGGGGGAGGAGGAAGAGGGGGAGGAGGAGGAGAGGGAGGGGCGCGGTTACGCCGACGCGACGCCGACGGCGACGCCGACGCCGCTCAGGCTGGAAACGGGCCCCTAAGAGCTGCACTCTAAAAAATTTAGGAGAGAGAGAAACGCGAAATTTTGCTTCGAATTGATAAAGCCAGGAAGGTCCAGATTATATTTCCTAAACGAAACGCTAGCAAGACGGAAAGAGTAGATAAAATAAATTGCGTTGGTCGATTCTGGACAGATTCAATTGCATCAATGAGAGTGCGCTGAGCCGGGTCCCATATACTTGATGCGTATTCTGGCTTTCGGCGGATGAGTGTCCGAGGAGAGGAGGGTACTTGGGTAAAATTACGACGCAAGTAGCCGAGGGTGCGATTTGAAGCCCATACCAATTTGGCTTCCGTAAAAACAAATCTACTGAAATAGAATTACTTGAACAAAAAGAATACATACTTACACAGTTTGAAAGCAAAGCTATTGTTGTTTGTATATTTGTGGATTATTCGAAAGCTTTCAAAATGGTAAATCATAATACATTGTTAAAAAAGCTTGCATGCTACGGTATTCGTGGACAGGTGTTGTTGCTTTTGAAGTCGTACTTATCTCATCGAAAGCAGGTCGTTCAAATAAATAATATGTGCTCCAGAGTTCAACCCGTCCTTTGTGGCGTGCCTCAGGGTAGTATATTGGGGCCGCTACTTTTAGAGCGCAGCTCTTAGGGGCCCGTTCCCGGCTTGAGCGGCGTCGGCGTCGCCGTCGCCGCTGGCGTCGCCGTCGCCGTCGGCGTCGGCGTCGGCGTAACCAAGGTCATCCCAAGGTCACGTGACCCCTCCAGGTCACGTGACCCCCCTCCAAGGTCATCTCAAGGTCACGTGACCCCACGTGACCCCCTGAACGTCACGTGACCCGCAAGGTCACGTGACCTTGGGGGTCACGTGACATTTACATTTATCTTAATGACATTGTGAACATCAACCCTACTGCCAAATTCATAATATACGCGGATGACACAAGTATTTTCTTTTCTGGTAATGCCATCCACAAACTTGTAGACAAATGTAATTTTACAATGAAAGCAATAGAAAAGTGGTCAGTTTCTAATTCCATGCAGATAAATGAAGTAAAAACTAAAGCAGTCATATTCAGACAAAACAAACAAGCCAATTCCGGTACATAAAGATATCATCCTAAATTCACGTTCTATAGAAATTGTTGAACATTTTAAGTGTCTTGGCGTCGTATTTTCTTCCACTATGTCGTGGGATAGCCACATAAACCATATAGTAACTAAGATAGCTCAGATCAGAGGCATTATAGGTCGTATTAAATACCTTCTTTCCACAAAAAGTAAGTTACTCCCTTATAATTCGATCTTCTACTCTCATTTAAACTACTGTCAATTGGTATGGGGAACAACAACAATTTCAAACCTTCAACGCGTTCAAATATTACAAAAAAAATGTCTTCGTCATATTTACAATGAGCCTTATGGAGCGCCAAGTACTAACTTGTTCCACCGCTCCCATGTGATTAGTGCATTTAACTTGTATAGATATCAATTAAGTACCAGGTATAAATTAGAAACACGAAACAATATTACTAACTTACGTGATCTGGCTCATCTTCAAATAAAGAACATAATTAGTTACTCAACAAGACATAGAGAAAATTGGGTAGTGCATACACCTCGTTCGAACTATGGAAAAGATTGCCTAAGTTTCATACTGCCGTCTTTATTAAATGAATATCATCTTGTGCATTTTCATTTATTTACCTGTAAGTACCGTGAACTCCGTAGAAAAACTGACAGAGTATGATTTTTAACGGTTTGTTTTTTGTTTAATTGTGTGCGCCCTTAACATTTATGATCACAATGTTTTTTTTTGTTTTGTTCTTTGGTGAGTGTGTTGTTGCAATGTATTGTTAAGATTACTTTTCTTCCCGCCTTTTTCTTTTGTTTTTCTCGTTTTTTTCTCTTTTGTAAGTACTTTAGCAGGATGCTGATCAGCTGCCAATACTAAGGGTCTGTGGACTCGTCAAGCTGCAATGCTGCAGCTTTTTTCCACAGCTCCTTTATCTTTGTACAAGGTGAAAATAAAATGATTTGATTTGATTTGATTTGAAGTGTTAATGATGTAGTGGACGTGGATATGCCATGAGAGGCATACCCACGTCCACTACTTGTATGATGTGGCATGCTTTAATGAAGTACCATTAATTTTGTGGTCGCAGGTTTGAGGGGGATTAGAAAGGCGTGAGATAGTCATGCTCTCGAATTTGTTTGTTTAAGGACATCACCCATTCGTTGCACCAGTTAAAAATGTTTTCAAGGTCAGATTGAAAGGAATAATGATCAGATTGGTTGATTATTTCGCGATAAAGAACACAATCGTCAGCAAACAACTTTATATAAGAGTTAATGCAGTCGGGAAGATCATTAAACCATATTCAAAGCAATAAGGCACCCAAAACAGAACCTTGAGGGACGCCAGATTTTCCGACAGAAAATGATGAGTCACGGTTGTTCGTACTTACAAATTGGGTACAGTTTCTTAAAAAACATTGAAACCATTTTAGGATATAAAGGTCAATATTTAGGGTGCTGATTTTAAGAATTAATAAAGGTGGTGTACCTTATGAAAAGCTTTTTGCGAAGTCGAGGAAAATGCAGTCCAACGATGATCTATGATCGAGGCCTGAGGTTATGCTATGGGCAAGACAGAGTAGTTGCGTTTCACACGAGTAATGTTTACGACAACCGTGCTGAAATGGGCTAAAAAATCAGTTCGATTCGAG